CTGAGCTGCCTCTGGCCAGGATGTTTACTGTAGCCCGGCTCACTATGGAGACATTGTCCTCCTGCAGCTTAGAAACCTGTAGACAAAGACCTTTATCAATGATTAATTCTCTCTCGCCTCAGCTTGGTTTACTCAGTACTGGTCTCCTGGCTGCACACAGGTAGCTCTGGTAAACAGAACTAGAACACTGTTTGCACTAAACCCCGCTGAACTCTGAGCAGCCTGCCAGCCATTCTGGGTTTGCTTTGAGCTGGTGGTAGATTCTTGGTCGATCGAAAGGAAGGCGGGTCTCTTTCCCTGCTTATCTCCCAGCTCCCAGCAGTGGCACCGGCACCAGGGGGGAAGCCCTGGGCCTCAGCTTCACGAGAGAAGGACATGGAGACTGTGGCTGTGGCTCATTCAGGACAGACCCCTGCCCATGTAAACTGCAGCCTGCTTGTGAAAGCATTGACGTGCCATACAGAGAGTGGCGCTTGTTTTTAAGCAGAAGCCCTCCACAGTGCTGTTTGCCTTTGAAGAATGACAGCAGTACAAGGAACAGTAACAAACACCTGTCCTTGCAGGGGTGGTTCCACACAGCAGTATTACGACCTGGGGTCGGTGAAAAGCAACATGAGCATAAACGACCAGAGGTAAGTGCTTTGCCGCGGAGATGAGTGCAGTTGTTTGTGAGGATAACACAGGCAGCCACTCATTTCTTCAGACAGTATAATAAAGGTCAGGTTGCCATAGTAATATGAACACACGATTATTGTAAAGAGTATCTATAGAAAAGCAATGTTGTGCATATCCAGCAAAAACAATCAGTTTTACAACCTACAGCAACAGAAAATCGTCTACTCAATTATATAGATATTCATTTATGTTATTTATAGTTTGTTTTGTTTTTTTAGTTTTATGATTTCTGCTCCTTTCCACATGTCATGTATGTTATTTGGGCACTAGATGGCAGCAGAAGACACAGACTGAGCTGCCACGGTGCTCAGTGCTTCACAGTTCTCCCATCGGCGTGATGACGTCATCATGGGGCTTGCTCATTAGAGATGGACATTTGTAGTGTCTTTACAAAACTTGGTACGATCAGCATAACGTCAGCTTTAATACTGATTGTAAAAACTGTTCCTTTTTTTCAGAATTCCTACACCAACACAAGTCAGACTTGCGTGAGTACACAAGAGACAACTCTCTCTCATAGTGTGCTCTTTAATAGTATATGTTGGAGTATTTACATTCTTTCTAGAACAGATGTGCTTGCAGTACATATTTCCTTCTGGTATGTTTCTTAATGACAGAAAATTAGGAATTTTTTGTACCGTTTCTTCAGCACCCTCCTCCAGAGGACGTTGATCACGTCCTTGTTACATTAACACCTTCGTGTAAACTCTCACCCGAAAAACGGAGGTCAGTGGCACGGTGTTCCAGGTCACCGCTCTGGGGTGTTGGGGTTGAAATTCTGGTCCATGGGAAATAGCGCCACCTACTGGTCCAGCAGCATGACTTACAGCTGGTGACTGGTTTCCAGTGCTGACCGGCCCAGATTCGGGCTGTTCAGCTGGCGACCAGGCTACAACCTGGTGACTCTGCAGAAAAAAAATAAAGGATGCGTTGTCGTCGGTGTTCTTCAGTATTTTGAGAAATCTGTCAGGGTACCCGGCACATTTCCTTCTCTCTTCCCTGATTAGTGCCCCACAGCTCTGCCCCGTGTGTCTCCTGTCCCCCCAGCGCAGTGTGAGGTGAGGGCTGTGGTGCTGAGTCCAGCTGGTTCACGGCTGCTGTTTCCTGTGTGTAGGGCTATCCTTTCATATCCTCTCTCCCTTCTGCCTCAGCGAGAAGCAGATTAAGGTGCCGTTCCCAGCTGAGCATCCCTACCAGTCCCACATCTCCCGGCTGGCCGTGTTTCCCAGTTTCTCCTCTCCGGATGACCCGGACACAGGGGTCCGAGCTGCCTCCCAGCTGCCCCTCGGCCCCCACATCCCAGCAAGCAACCATGACGTCACGGTGCTCAGCAAAACCAAGGGTAAGAGCAGCAGCTCTTCCAGCCCCGTCCCAGAAAGGGTGCACTGTGTCCGGGGAAGGTGTGTGGGGTTGGCAGAGGTG